ACAGTGTTTCACAGCCACTGTCTTTATAATTCTTGTATTTTGTTGGCAAATATGATTGTTTCTCCTTCATTCATCACAATTTGTGTTTGTGATATAAATTGTCTAGACTCTAAACAAATTCCTAGCTTTGTTGAAAAATTCGCGTAGTCTGATGATGATTGCATGTCCTTCAAGTTGTTCTCATACCATTTAATATATAAATATTTGTGTCTTCCTTGCATATGTTTTGTATTTCTTTTTGTATAATTATCCTATTTTCTGAAGATATTGTTTTCGAGAGAATTTGTTGTCTTTGAAAGTCAACCATTCTTTTCGTCACCCACTGTTTTAACGGTTTTGTAGTTTCACTTACACCAGATACAATAAATATTTTTTTCTTCAAACGTCAAATAATGATGACATTACTTATCTAACTTGATCCTGTCAAAGTTTGATGTCTCCGCCGGCAGCAGTTTTTTTCCCATTTCTTTACGGCGGAGGGAAAAATGTTGTCATGGCAACAATATGAAACATGTCACAAAGCAACAATACAAATGTCATTAACAACAATTAAACATCATTTTTATTTATAGTAATATTAAAAGTACAATTAGTTAATGAGGCATTTTCAAAATTGAAACCGTGCAAAAATGTTCCCGACTCTTGATACGCATTGGTAATTGTTGATGATACTGATGGTCGAGAACAACTTTCAGCAATCATTCCCGATGTTGGCGAATCATGAGGGTTTAAAATTTTTTGAGCATTATCGTTCTTATTTCTTATTGAATCCTCTATATATCCTTCGGCAACCGTGCTTGATTTCCAGCCCCCATGTCGTTTGAGGCATTCTAGATTTCCGCCTCCATCAATTAAAAGTGTTGCTGAAGTTCGTCGTAAAGAGTGACCCGTGTATGCGCTTGCATCGTTTAAATTTAAATAACTAGCTACTTTTTGGGCTACTGCGCTGATCGAATGTATTCCCATGACGCTTCGGTAACACTTTCCATTTTGGTACTTGATAAAAAATCGGTTTTCTGTGAAATTTTCAGGCCGCAGTGATGCATACTTTTTATACAGTTTAATGTAGTTTTGACCAATTATCGTAAAAGATCTAATTTGTCGTGTTTTACTGTCTGGGATTTTGATAATTATTACATTTTCTTTATCCTCAATGTCCACAGTCTTCATTTTTACCATTTCGTCGCATCGACAGGCGCCGGTAACCCCAATTAACAAAACAATCTGAAATATTTTTATAATTTAGTAGAGTATACTACATGCTTTGCAATATAATTTTTTTACCTTTAATCCTAAATACAACTTATCTGGCGCTTCAAACAAAAATTTATCAAACTCGTCTTTAGTGAAAACTTTAGACTTCTTTGCAGTATATCCTTCGCTTGTTTTTTTCAGAAAGGCACGTAACTTTAAAAATTTGCTTATATCCACATTTTTTCTAATAACTAACTCGGATTTTATCATAGAGTATCGTGACCACATTGTAGAAGATTTCCATTTATTTTCATTTTCCATTATATTAAAATATGCCAGTAAAACGTCTTCGGTAACTTGCCGTACTCCTCTTGTATCGCACCACTCTTGGAAGTGCTTGTACGCTAACCGATACTTTATTCCGGACTTGGAGGGCCCCAAACGTGCTACTGCATCATTAGCCGCGGACTCAATTTCGTTTAGGTTTTCCATTTTCGCACTAAATTTGCGCTTGCGGTTGCAACAACAATAAGCTGTCTTTAATAATTGCAAACAACTGTCAAACAACTGTAACCAGGGAGACGCAAATCCCACCGACGACTTAATTATTTTAATTTCTAACATCTAGACGACTTTGATAGTTGTCACAGTTAATTTCGAGTAAAAATAGCGTATGAATTGTACTATTTATGGTTGAAAATTGCTACGTTTGAAGAAAAAATAGTATACTTTATTCGGCAAAGAAGCGACTTTTCTTGACTTGCCCTCTATTACGCGCCTCACTTCGTTCGGCGCGTAATATCGGGCGCGTCAAGAAAAGTCATGCTTCTCCGCCTCATAAAGTAATATACTATAGTTGCCAGTCAGGCTCCGTCTGAATCATTTCCGATTGATGGTGGATCAGTCTTTGTTGTAAACTATTTTATCTGCTTTATAGAAGGCTGTGGATTGGTCTAATACCAATCATTGTCTTTAGTTTTTATGATAATGTGTTTGTATTTGTAATGGTTGTTTTTGTTTGTTTAAGCAAAATTGAATGAGTGGTTCACCACTTTGATTTATTTCGCCAAGTCCATAGTTATGGACTTCTAGTTATTCCTTCAATTCGTCATCTGGTTGATATGTAATTTATACTTTAACAATATGTAATTAGGAGGGTCTGGAATTGAATCTGGAAATGATATGTTGATACACTTAATACGATCTTTAATGGGTCCATAGATCTCGCTGTATCTTTTGTAAATCAGGAAGATCACGCTAATTCTGCCAGATTTTTGGCTGTGGTAAAGTGGTCGCACCTCTTCCAATATGTTTCTGCGATTCCGTGTTCTTTTCTTCTTCTAGTTCCATGACCGTTATCGATCGTTGGATATCATGTTGGCTACCATATTCGCTATCGTGACTTTATTGACAGCAGCTCTAAATAACGATGTAGTTGATTTTCCATACCATTGCCTTAGATTTTTCAGCCATGATGTTCTTCTTCTACCAGGACCACGATTACCTTGGATCTTTCCCTGAATGATCAGATGTAAAAGATCATATTTTTCAGGGTGTCTCATAATATGACCGAAGTATTCCAGCTTGCGTTTCTTTATTATATTGACCAGTTGTGTTGTTTGGTTCAGCCGTCTAAGGACCTCCTCATTTCTAACTCTGTCGACCCAGCTTATTTTCAGTAGTCGTCTGTATACCCACATCTCAAAGGCTGTCAAGCGTTTAAGCATAGCCTCAGTTAGGGTCCACGCTTCTACTCCATACAGCAGGACAGGAAAGATGTAGCAAGATATCATACGAACTCTAAGGTCAATGCTAAGATCGTGACTGCAAAGTACGTTTCTCATTTTTACAAAGGCAGCTCGGGCTTGTTCTATTCGGCTTTTAATTTCTGCGGTTGGATCCCAGCTCTCATTGATATTACTGCCGAGATACACGAGTTTCTCTACTCTGTCCAGTGTGGCATCTCCGACTTTTATACCGTCATCATGTATATAATTTTGTTTGCTGACTATCATATATTTAGTTTTCTTAACGTTGAGTTTTAATCCATACTGATCACAAGTCTGTTTTATTCTGTTCATTAGATTTTGAAGGTCTTCTCCGCAATTGGCAAGAACTAAGGTATCGTCGGCATATCTAATATTGTTGACGGTTACTCCATTCACAATAATACCTTCGGTTGTCTCCATTAAGGCTTCCTTAAATATTTCCTCCGAATATAAGTTAAAAAGTAAAGGCGACAATATACAGCCTTGTCTCACTCCTCTTTTTATATTTATTTCATCCGACAGTTCTTGTTCAACCTTTATTCTTGCCACTTGATGCCAGTATAGATTTGTAATTATTCGTAGATCTTTATCGTCCAATCCAGCTGTTTCCAATATTTCTAGCATTTTGTTATGTCGGACTTTGTCAAAAGCTTTTTCAAAATCGATTGCACAAATATACACATTTTGATTTATATCTCTGCATCTCTGTACTAGCACCTGTATACTAAACAAGGCTTCTCTTGTACCCAAGCCACTCCTAAACCCAAATTGAGTATTGCTAATTCTGTCCTCTAACAGCGTGTAAATTCTGCTGTGTATTACTCGCAGAAGATTTTCAAAACGTGACTCATCAGACTTATTGTCCGATAATCACCGCATGTCTTTGGACGATGTTTCTTAGGTATTGTGACAAATGTCGACTTTAACCAATCAGTTGGTAATATCCCAGTGTCATAAATTCTGTTAAAGAGATTACACAGAGCTTTAATTCCATTTTCTCCCAAAAACTTTAGTATTTCAGCACTTACTTCATCGGGGCCAAGTGCTTTTCCATTTTTTGCCGTTTGTATTGAACGTCTTACCTCACTTTCTGTTATAGATGGACCTGATATAGCAATCGGTGTATAGTGTTCTACTCTCTCATCTTCAAATAATTCAGAAATGTAGTTTTCCCATTCTTTTAACTTTTCATTGATGTCTAATATTCTGTGTCCGTTTCTGTCTTCTAAACTTTGGGATACTTGTTTCCATTTGTTTCCAGCGACCTCTTTCAATTTCTTGTGCAGATGAAATGTATCGTGTTTCTTTTCATATTGTTGAATTTCATTACATTCTTTACTATGAAATTGTGTTTTCGCGTGTCTTATCTTCTGCCTGATTATTGCGTGGATCCTCTTGTATTCGTTTTTATCTTTATTTCTGATTTCTCTTCTTTGATCCATAAGTCTCAGTATTTCTTCTGTCATCCACCCTTGTTTTTTTCTTGCTTTTAACGCACTCAATTTTGTTTCTTGAACAGTCTTTAAGATGTCTTTAATTCTCGTCCAGTTTTCCTCAGTACTTTCTTCTTTGCTTGATGTTAACTTCATCTTTTGTTCTAATATACTAGTTATTTCTTGTTTTACAGTATAATTTAGCATCGTTTCTCTATCAATAGTAACTGTTTGCTTATTCGTCCTTGCAACTCTTTTTAATCTCAATATGATTCCGTATAACCATAGGTTTTTTCTGCAAATTTTTTTCCATGATACGTAATTTTGAAATCGAAGAAGGTCACAATGCCTAAAGGCTTCTAAACGGTCACAAAAGGATTTGCTCCATTTACGAATTTACCTCACTACAACTCATTCATCTTAAATCACTTTGGTCAAGATTTTTGGTCTGAGATTATTGATTTTTGAAATAAACAACAAAAGTATTAAATGTGTGTAATCCTTTCATAAACGTTTGGTTTACTTCTATTTTGTATGGCTAATTGACTAATCCAAAGCTCAGAAAAAACTTTTAGTATGAATTAATATGATTAATTTTTTCCAGGCTGAATCAAAATTGGTTCGAGCAGAATCGAATAGCAGTACCGAGAATCTTATGGCGAATTTAAGAGATAGTGAAGTGAGTATAATAGAAAGATACTATTACAATATAAATTATTCAATAAGAAATCGATATAATATTTATATTTTAACTATTTTACTTTTTGTTTCCTTTGAAACTCACTGTTTCCTTTCAGATTGACAGCGAGGACGACAAAAATGGCCGCAAGGCAAGCATTGACCTATCTGGAAACATACCCACGGGCACTGACAAAGCGCCGTTTCTGTTAGAGATGCTGGTACAAGATTTACCAGATAAATGGCGCAATTGGGTAGTGAGGGGCGTTTTTAGTTTCTTGATGCTCACGTTCTTCTTCGTTGTTATATACGGAGGACCTTTAGCTTTGATGATCACGGTGAGTTGATATTTACAATTCAGTTATGCAAATTTGCACCCATTTTGCTTATAGTATGAACTTTAAAACAAGTACTGCACTATTAGTTTTATTTGACGCTTTCCATAAGTGAATACATTTCGTTAGTTAGCTGATTTACCTGAGACACAATTGAGAAACGAATGCCTTTCTATCTTGAGTAATATCGTCCACATCAGAGTTAGAATACATTCCATCATTGTTTAGAGAATACCGAAAAACCTCCACCAACTTATACCATGCCAGAACGTCACAAAGTGAAGTATAGACATCCATCTATCTGAATCGCTCTAGAAATAGGTAATTTTCTTTTTTTCACTGCATATACGTTACTGAAAGTTACCAATAATTCTGGTACTGATAATTTTATTTGATGCTGCACATAGTAGTCATATGATAGATGTAACAAACTAGGTTCTTAAGTTTTTCATCATCGTTATTACCTCGACAATCGGTTGTGTGGCTTGAATTGTTACAGAATTTTGCCCCATTTTAATCTGTTCATTGTTCATTTTTCGAGTTCGAAATTTTTACTGTTTTTAGATGTTGTTCTGAACTCTCTGCTTCTTTCCTTGTTGATTACATATTCACTTAAGATATGGTCATGGATTTGGTTTTATTAAAGTGCTTCCTCAGACCTATTTTCTAGCAACCATTTTCTAGATCATTTTAACCTTCATTTTCCGAAGGTCATCAGTTGTAAGGACTATGTCGTCTGCAAAGAAAAGCTGGAATTCCACAATATCCATAAAGTACATCATAGAATTAAATTTTTTCTTTTAATATTTTTATAGCTTGTCGTTCCTTTAGAAACAGTTTTTTTCCATAACTCTCATTTTTCCCGATAACTACCTGCTGGGTATTATTTAATGAACTAGCGGACCAAATAATTGTATAATTGTTAGTTGATTGCGTGACTTCTAAGTGACATTTTTGCAATTCAGATTTAAACACAGTACAAAGTTTTATGTAAAGTATATATTTTATTTGAATATTCCCGTATTATGATAATATTAAACGGAAAATTTTGACTCAAAGTAATATATTTCATTAACTACTTCTTTTTGACCATTGGAAAAATTATTTTTTAGTATTTTTTTTTATTGAGTTTAACGCGTCGACAACTAATGGTCATTGGCATGGTACAGTGAATTTTTACAGTCAGGTACCTAGTGTATTGTGTGTGTAGGTGTAGAGTAATTGTCTTGATACTTAGCAAAGTCGACGTCATTGTCTTTGCTAAGAGATGCTAATTGTATCCGAACGTCTGCGGTCCCTCCGGTGAGTACCGATCGCACAAGGATAGAAATTATTTTCATGTATTAATTTTTAATAAACGAAATGTAGTGTAGACAATTGTAATATTTGAGCCATCTGATAAAGGGGCAAAAATACAGACTTTGCAAAATATAATGCATGGCGAAGCAATTAAGACTGTAGAAGAATGTACTAGATGAGACATTTAATGAGAATGTTTTAAATTCACCACACGTAAACTGTTTACAAACAAAATTAGAATAGCATTGCTATGGTCGCACTAAAACTAAAACAAGAGAATAGCGAAATCTGGAAAGAATAAAAAAGGATCTGAATGATACAAAAGGACGCCTTGAAAAGCTGGTAGATTGACTTGATTTGCACTTCGCTTGTGCCGCTGGTAAATAATCAAACTCCATGTGAAAAACTGACTTTATTTGAATTAACAATACATAAATATAACCGCTAATAAGTTTTGTCTGCTCGTTGGTCCGCCGGCCTCGAATTCTCGTATTTGAGTGCTGTCGTCTATGGGGTGCTTTTAGGGGCTCGCCTTATCTTCACATACGGCATAATACAGAGTGGCCCAAAAAGTCTGGAAACGGCTAATTATCTCGTAAAATGCTAATCATAATTGTACAAAATTTGAGGTACACCTATTTTGGGATACGGAGATTCCATATTTGATATTTACAATGTTGCCAGATTTGCCGTTTTTCTTATATTATTAGTAACTTTGGTTTTTCAAATACATCACCCTGTATATTCAGTCATTATTGGAATCTCCTATTCAATACGAGTTCAACCATATGTAACACTTATGATTTTATGTAATCTGGAAGGTCATAAATACATAAAACCGAAGTCTGGCAACGCCTAAATTGTTTCAATAAATTTTTTAATACTAACTATTTTCAAATACATTAAAACGTAACAATTGATAGTTTAGAACATTTTTTAACATAGTAGTTACGTTATTAAGTGTTCAAAATGTGCTCAATTTGTGAGTTGACAGCACCCTAATCGATGGTAGAAGGCGTCTACCACATTTCTCCATGATTGTCTAGAAATTATTCGAGATTCATTGATAATTCGTTGCCTTAGCTCTGCAAGACTTGCTGGTTAAGTTTTGTAAACTGAATTTTTCAAGTATCCCTAATAAAAATAATCTTTAGGATTGAAATCGGGTGAACGTGGAGGCCATTCAATTCTACCTTGTCTACCAATTTATCGTCCAGGAAATATCTCATCTAAATATCGCCGAACATTTACACCAACTATCTGACGTTAAATTTCTTTCGACAAAAAATGACCCAATTGAATAAGTAACTACTATATCTGACCATACATTTAATTTTTGTGGTCTTTGAGTATGGTTTTCACGCATTCAGTCTTCAGTGTGAATTTACGTCACACCAGTACCTTAAATTGTGTCGATTTACACTTCCACACAGTGTAAAAGTTGCTTCATCGGAAAAACATATTCTGTTAACGAAATTTTAATAATTTTCAATTTTATCCATCATTACCTCAGTAAACTCTAATCTACGACCAAAGTCATCTTCACTTAATTCTTGCAATAAGTTAATTTTGTATGATTTAAATTTATTTTTACGTAATAAACGTAAGACTGAAGAATGACCTACATCATGTACTTGTGCAACCCTGCCTGGGGATGTATGTGGATCTTCAACAAAACTTTGCTTATATCTGAAGTTTTGTTGTCATTGATAACTCGTTTCGGTCAACCTGATCGGTATCTATCTTTTACTTCTCCAGATTCCTCAAATCGCCTTACAGTTTTTTGTACCGTCGTCTTATGAATAGGAGAACGGTTTAGAGAACGGCATTTTAGAGAAGCAATTTAAATTGCAGAACTTTTTGAACCACAACTACTGTCAATTTTAGTTCATAATTTAAATGGTGAACAAATGTCAAAATCACAGCATTCTCCATTTAAATATTTAAATTTATTAAAATCTACATATTTTGCACTGTTTTATGTATTTAAGATCTTTCAGACTACATAAAATCAAGTGAACATATGGTTGAACTCGTATTGAATAGCTGAACTCGTGTGAAATTCACACTGAATGCGTGAAAACCATGCTCAAAGACCACAAAAATTAAATGTATGGTCAGTTATAGTAGGTACTTATTTAATTGGGCCATTTTTTATTGAAAGAAATTTAACGTCAGATAGTTGGTGTAAATGTTCGGCGTTATTTAGATGAGATATTTCCCGGACGATAAATTGGTAGACAAGGTAGAATTGAATGGCCTCCACGTTCACCCGATCTCAATCCTAAAGATTATTTTTATTAGAGATACTTGAAAAATTCAGTTTACAAAACTTAACCAGCAAGTCTTGCATAGCTAAGGCAATGAATTATCGATGAATCTCGAATAATTTCTAGACAATCATGGAGAAATGTGGTAGACGCATTCTACCATCGATTAGAGTGCTGTCAACTCACAAATGGAGCACATTTTGAACACTTAATAACGTAACTATTATGTTAAAAAATATTCTAAACTATCAATTGTTACGTTTTAATGTATTTGAAAATAGTTAGAATTAAAAAATGTATTGAAACAATTTAGGCGTTGCCAGACTTCTGTTTTATGTATTTAAGACCTTCCAGACTACATAAAATCATAAGTGTTACATATGGTTGAACTCGTATTTAATAGGAGATTCCAATAATGACTGAATATACAGGGTGATGCATTTGAAAAACCAAAGTTACTAGTAATATAAGAGAAACTGAAAATCTGGCAACATTGCAAATACTAAATATGGAATCTCCGTATCCCCAAATAGGCGTATCTCAAATTTTGTATAATTATGTCTAGTAATTTACGAGATAATTAGCCGTTTCCAGACTTTTGGGCCACTCTGTATATCTTCCTACGCTGCTATGTTGCCGGATTGTAAAAATACATAAAATAAACTTGAATTAGATAGAGGCATGAATAGCTGGATAGAGAATAAGAAAAGAAAATAATGTGTTAATACAGGGAATGACAATAGAAACGGGAGATTTAAGATTTAATTTTTACTAAAAGAAGTAATAGGAAATTTTATGACAAAAGAACTGAATATTAACGAAAATATAGAAGAACCAGTGGAACTAGGAGATAAAACATGTTTAGTCAGACTGCCACACAAAGAAGAAAAAACAAAAATTACGGAAAACAAAAGTAAACATAAAGAAGTGAAAGAAGAAAAAATATAAACAATGATGTAACGACAGAGGAATTACAAATACAGAAGGAAATACGAAGAATAGCATAAGATGAAATAAAGAAAGGTAAACGTGTCCAAATTAAAGCCAAAAAACTGATAATAGATGGTCGAGAAAGGAAATGGAATAGAAACACCAACCAGCTGGAGAACATTCCTGGAGGTGGTTCAAAAAATTAGCAAGGGATGATAGGATACATTATTCGTTGACTGACGAGGCAAAGAAACAGGAAATGACTGCAGATCAACTTAGGTACAACAAAAGTAAAATAAAGAAAGACAGACAAGAAAACAAAATTAAAAGACAAGGACAACAGGACAAAAAAATAAAGAGTTGAAAATAAGCACATGGAACATAAGAATTATGGAAAAGTGAAAATGCTAGAAATAGGAAAAGAACTCAAAAAGTATAAAATAGATATTGCAACACTGCAAGAATTACGCTGGGAGGGACAAGGACAGATTGATAAACAAGATACAATGTTATATTCAGGAGGAAGGGCAAAAAGGGGTGAGATTAATGATACTAAGTCACCTAAGAGAGAAAATTATAAATTTCATGCCAATATGCGAAAAATGGCCTATGTAAGAGTCAACAACAAATCATTTAATATATCAGTGTTAAACTTATACGCCCCTTCAGGAACAAGCAATGTAGACGAAAAAGAAATCTTTTATGATAAGATCGAAGAGGAGATAGAAAAAATACCCAAAGAAGATTTCATGTTTGTACTAGGAGACCTCAATGCCCAGATTGGAAATGCGGAATTTTCACAACAAATTGCAGGACAGCATACAATATACGAAAGAACACCCTAAAATACATAAGGTAACATGGAGGTTACCAGATCAGAAAACATACAGTCAAATTGACATGATGTACTGATTAAGAAGGTCACCAGATGGAAACCAGAAACTAAAAGAACATGAAGAAGATTTAGAGAGAGATGGGAGGACCAGGTCATAAGAGATATCACAATCCTGAAAATAAGAAAAAAGAAATAACTGGAAGAGAATTGTAACGAAAGCCGAGTCATACAAAAAACTTTGACAATACACAAGAATAATGCGGAGTGATTTACAGCAATAAGTAGTGAATCAAAGAGCTCTAGGTAGGGGCGACATTCTATCAGGAATGAAAGGCATTGATGATGATGATGTCAGTCCACTAAATTCGAATTACAAAAGCATCGATTTATTCAACAACAATTCTTAATGTTAATCTTAGATAGGACAACATTTACGGATCGCTAATAGTATCCCTTGGGACATTTGGTGGTATATTCGAGTGGCAAGAAGAAAACAATCTTTTTCTTTGATCAAATAGTAAACTCGAGAAAATGTTGGTATACTGTATAATAAGTTTAATTTATTTTTCAGACTTTGGTGGTGCAAGTTAAATGCTTTCAAGAAATCATCAATATCGGCTACACGGTGTATCGCATCCACGGTCTTCCATGGTTCAGATCCTTGTCATGGTATTTTCTGATCACTTCCAATTATTTCTTTTACGGAGAAAGCTTAGTAGAGTATTTTGGAGTAGTGATTAACCGAACGGTATGTATATATTATGTGTTATCTTTTATAATACTTAGAATAACTGTAATTTGGTGAATTTTTAATAATTTTTTAATCATACAAAAATTTCGTATATAAAATTAACAATTTATAACATCTTTGGATCAGAATATTCGACTGTTCTGGTTATTTTATTCATCTTTTTATATCTGGTTGCTTCCTTTCAGGATTTCCTGCGAGGGATAGTGACCTACCACCGCTTCATCTCGTTCTGCCTCTACTGCGGTGGATTCGTACTCTTCGTTCTAAGCCTCGTCAAAAAATACTACATGAAGCAATTCTCTCTCTTCGCTTGGACACACGTAGCTCTCTTGATCGTTGTGACGCAGTCATATTTGATCATTCAGAATATCTTCGAAGGTTTGATATGGTTCATAGTGCCGGTTTCTATGATCATCTGCAACGATATAATGGCTTACGTCTTTGGATTTTTCTTCGGAAAGACGCCGCTGATAAAGTTGTCGCCTAAGAAGACTTGGGAAGGGTTCATCGGGGGTGGAATCTCGACCGTTGCTTTTGGCGTAATGGTAAGTTAGAAATAGTAAATAATTTGTTGAATATATCATAAATAATCACTTTTGTGTTCACTAGATTTCGTACGTGATGTGTCAGTATCCATATTTCGTTTGTCCGATCGAGTACAGTGAATCATTGGGAAGCATGACCATGGAATGCGAACCTAGCAGTCTGTTTAGACCTACCAACTACAAATTGCCTGACTTCTTGACAGCGGTAAGTGCGCAACTTTCTTTTTAAACGTTTATCGGTATATACACGTCAAATGTCACCCTTCCGTTGTCAGCTGTCATTTCGACAATGTCGTCAATGGGCGGGATTCATAATGTGATCGAAACAAAATATTTTTTCACGCTTAAGCGACCTATCTGCTGTAAAATTTAAAGAAATTTAGTTGAAGTCCTATTTTTCCTTACAATCTCAATATTTTCTTCTTTTACAGTTTGGTTTATGGGATAGCGTATCGTTGTATCCATTTATGCTTCATTCCTTGTCGCTATCTGTATTCAGTAGTGTAATAGGACCGTTTGGAGGATTCTTCGCATCTGGATTTAAAAGAGCATTTAAGATTAAGGTAAGGAAAACTAAATAAATAAATATACATTTTGTGTCTCTCAGGAATGATCTAAATGACTGTTAAGAACTTTACAACAGCTTGAAATATTCTGCTGATCTTTGAACAGCCTGTAAGATTTCAGTACTTTTATAGAGTACTTTAATGTCTTCTGGAGAAGTTACTAGCAGCTTTATTTCTTTCACTGTTGATATATGTCAAGATTTGGTAATAGGCGAAATAAAAAAGAGTCAAATCTGGCAAACAGGGAGGATTAAAACCTACTTTAATTCAAAATTGATTTTTTCTTCAGGATTTCGGTGATGTCATACCTGGTCATGGCGGTATAATGGACCGATTCGATTGTCAGTTCCTGATGGCTACATTCGTGAACGTCTACATCAGCAGTTTCATCCAAAGAGACAGTCCACAGAAATTGCTCACGCAGGTGTTGTACCTGAAGCCGGAACAGCAGCTCCAACTCTTCCACATGCTGAAGGAAAGTCTAGAGTCGCGAAATATTTTAGTACAGAATCTTTGAATTAGTGATGTTTTCCCTGACGATTAAATCGAGTTAACTAAAAGCGGTTTAGATCGAATATCTGGACTGATTTTAGATATGCGAGGTTTAAATGTGGGAGAATCTAATTTTATTAAATTTTAAATATGTATTTATTTATTTGTGCCATTTCATATGTTAGTTTATGAATTTGAACTTCTACATTATTTATTTTTTGTTGGAATATTTTTAATTTTATTTATTGATCTCGAGATCTAGATTCAGTTCTTTACTTGAACAAAAAGCTCGTCGTATATCGATAGCTGTACGACCTTTATTACAAAACCAGCTGTACGTCATCGATTAGCTGTTTAATTTTATGGCGCGTTCGTGCAGTGTTGCCAAATTGTTGAAATAGCAGACGATTAAGTGAAATTAATACTGTTTGCCTCTTTGCTCATAATCAGCTGCATTAACATGTCTTTCGGGCTAGTGTGTTAGCCGTTTAATAGTTAGAGTATTAGAAGTTATTTCTAAAATGTCATTTTTCTTTCTTACATAATATCCAATGTATAGTGACATCGAGAGGAACTACAAAAGGACCAGAACGAGTAAATTCATTCATTCCGTTATATATAATCATAACAATATAAATCTATTGTTGGGGAAAGTTGTAGAGTGCATGGAGAGTTTTTAACGACAGTTCAACGCATTGCCGATCTAGAAACATATGACTTGCACTGTAATTGGTGATCTTCGTCAAAACATTGTACTCAGTGCCTATTTTAGTTTCCAAAGATAATAATCAACTGTGGGCAGTCTCGACTATATGGAGGATGTTCAACGCTAATCCAATGCCCTTTCTGTATTCTGTTAACATTATCATGCAGTAGCAATACTTGTTGTACGGGATTACTCCGTCCTTTGAACCGATAATTAGCCCAAATAGGTTCCAAAACATTCCAGGGGTAGACAACACTAACTACACTATCAAAAGCTGCTCTACAATCCCAAAACACTATTATCAAAACGTTCATTGAAAGATCACGAGTTTTCACTTTACCATCCAAGTTATCGCATCTCCTTAGTTGTTCTGTTGTATTCTAGCATGTGTTTGGTGTTCATCGAAAAGTCTGGACAGCCTGCAGGATTTTCAACGAATCCAATGTTTTCGGTTTTACACATACTGTGACCAAAAGTTTACAAGCTAACAAATGTTCGCTTTACCATCAAAGTTTTCTTCTGTTCTTAGTATTTTTTCTTTTAATATGTGTGGGGTACTCGTGAAAGAGTCTGGACCGGCTGAGGGATGTCCAACTACAATCCAATGTGTTTTGGGTTCCAGACACAATGTGACCAAAGTTTACTCGCAAACTCACGAGTTTTCGCTTTACCATCAAGTTTTCTACCATCTTTAGTTGTTTTTTGTTTTCCAATATATGTGACGAAGATACAGGTCTATAAAACAATCATACGACCGTTGTGATTTATGGAAGCGAAACGTGGACGATAACAAAGGCAAATGAAGAGAGACTACGTGTTTGGGAAAGAAAAATCCTAACGAAGATCTTTGTCCGGTGCTTGATGAAGCATCAGGTCAATATAGGATAAGAACTAATAAAGAGCTTGAAGACTTTACCCAGACGTCAACATCATAAAAGAAATAAAGTCCAGAAGATTCCAATGGGCAGGACACCTCAGAAGACATTCTGACGAACGAACAGTAAGACTGGTGATGGAGGAAATCCCAACTGGAAGGAGACCACGCGGACGCCCTCGTCTCCGGTGGCGAGATAATATAGCCGGAGACCTAAGCACTATGGGCGTGGAGAATTGATGAGGTTGCTCAGACAGAAAACAGTGGAGGCATAGTTGTCGAGTCGGCTAAAACCCACGTAGGGTTGTAATGCCACGGAGTAAGTAAGTAAGTAATATATGTGACGTACTCATGGTAGAGTCTGAGTGTGTTCAACGACAATCTAATGCGTTTTTGGTTTTAGACACACTTTGACCAAAAGTTTACTTGCAAACTTAATAGTTTTCCATGTACCTTTCAAATTTTCTCCTCACCTTCTTAAGTTTTCCTGTTAATGGACCTCCTAAGGGATTTTCAACTTCAATCCATTGAGTTTTTGGTTCCAGACCCACTATGGCCAAATTTACTTGCTGGCTCAGGAGTTTTCGCTTTATCATCTAAGTTTTCTCTTCTTCTTAGTTGTTCTGTTTTATTCCATTAGGTGTGAGTATCAATCCGGTTCTGAGGCTGTGTTCTCCACATTTTTCTGGGCTTGGGACCGGCTGTGGTAACTGCAACACTAGTAGAAGAACAACAAGGTTTTAGGTCGGGAAGATCATGCACCGACGCTATATTTATGATGAGGCAAGTGCAAGAGAAATCATTAGAATACAACAAACGGACACACCTATGTTTCATGGACCTTAAGAAGGCATTTGACCGGGTCAAATTAAAACACGTTATTCACTTATTGTACGCAAGAGAGATACCTCTAGGAATAATCAAGACGATCGAAAATATCAATGAAAACAACACAATAACAGTAAAAGTAAAAGAAAAACTAACTGGGACAGAGCTAGAAGTACAGATATATGACGTAGATGCAAGGTGGAGAACATCAAGAACTGGATAAGAAGTAGAAGAGTAGAATGGAACGATTATAAGCCGAATGACAACAAATAGAGTAGTAAAGACGGCAAGAGACGGTTCGCCAATAGGAAGACGATCAATAGGAAGACAACGAAAACGATGGAACAACAACTTACTGGAGGCACATTGAAAAAAGACAGAGTCATGTCTATATAAAAAGAAGAAGAGGAAGGTGTGGGGTATTCATTGAAGTGTATTAAGTAACTGGGGGATGTTCAACGACAATTCAATGCGTTTTCTGTTCCACATACACACACTGTGGCTAAAAGTTTACTCACAAACTCACGAGTTTTCTATTTACCATCCAAATCTTCTCCTCTCCTTACTTGTTCTTTTGTATTTCATTATGTTTGGGATACTTTAGTCTCATAATTGGCCGTTTACTACGTAAATATGGTTCCCCTTTTGCTAAGCAGTGCTTGTTTGTGTACGGCGTTGGTGATTTTGCTCGACCTCCATGAAATTCTGGCATGACCAAAATTACACTGGCATCTTGGACACTGTTGATGCTTTTGATGAACAGTTTTATTTCGAAAAGTATTTTATAACCAAAAGGCAGTTACATTTTGTAAGTAAAGAATTGGATCAAAACAAGAATTAGTTAAATATATATGACTATTATATCGCTACACCTATAACTGTAGATACAAATCCAGAGGGACCTTAGATTAATGTTTTTATAGATGTTGCCTTTTACTTTGCTGTGTTAGAAACATATTCCCCTTCACAACTTTACACAAATGCTTTCAAATACAAATCCCGCCTCGATTTAGTTACGTAGGCTTGATACCAGTGATCTTGCGATTTTTGAAAGAAGCAGAAAGCTCTGTTTAAGTTTGGCTTATTTACATAGAAGGAATACCGAAAGTTTTATTTAATATCACATTTTTTAAGGTTTTAAACGATGAATACAAAATTTAAGATATGAAAATTCCTGAGGACTTAATTTCCTATAAAATATTTTTTACTTCCCTGTGGAATTGAACAATTCCCTTTTGCTACAAAATGCTAGCTTCCAAATTTTCTTTAACACTTACACGTACTGAAAAGATAGTTAAACCATCCGATAAATAAAGCACAACTTGCTTTATCGGACTGTTAAGACTGAGAATCTTTGCCTGCTCCTATTTGTGGGGAATTAAGGAAGAGCTTCAGTAGCTTCCGAAAAATGACCGGACCATAGCTCTAATAAATGTAATAGAAGACAAAAATCAGGGTAATTTGATTTGTCAGGTTGAAAGTTACGCTTTTATTTTCCAAAAATAGTTCCTCTGTCAATCTGTTCGAATGTACAGACTATAGCGTACTAATTTTAAGTAATCTTCAATATCTTCATTGTTGATGTTCACTAATGTTGCTCATTATTTTAGTTTAGGTCAAATTGTTTTGTTTATACTTAGAGTTAACGAGAAACTTGTGTGTTCTGTAACTTTGCTTGCATTTTTTTACAGTAAAGTACTTTTCTGGGTACTTTTTTAAAGATAATAAGATATTGTTTTGTTTTAAAGCCTTGGATCCAATCTTTAAACGCTTTTTTGACAAAAAACATATTTGCAGAATGGTAGGTATGTACTTTAAAGATGCGCAGTATTAATCTTTTTGGAAGGACCATAAATGATAGAGACATTGTTCTACTATCGATATGCGATCAATTTTATAAATACGTTACACCGTTTTTGATATTGTGCAATGTAGTGATGGAATATTGAAAACTCATTAACATTGAGCCATAACATTATGAAGTTCTAGCATAGTAAATGATATTCTGCAATATTAAAACGTTTTTGTGTTTGGTAAAGATCATAAATGGCACATGCATTGTTCTACTATCGATAGGCGGTCAGTTTTATAAATATGTGCAGAGTTATTGATATGGTGCAATTTAATGATTAAATATTGAATAATAATTAACATTGCGCAATAATATCATGAAGATACAGTAATATCATGAGCAATAATATCAGTAAATGATATTACTAAACGATATTGTGCAATGCTAAAATGTTTTTTTGTGTGTGGAAGGATCGTAAATGATATAAACATTGTTCTACTGTCGATAGGCGGTCAATTTTATAAATATGTTGAAGTTTTTGATATTGTGCAATGTAGTGAGGAATCATTAAATAATAAGTGATATTGTGCAATAATATTATAAAAATACAGCAATATCATGAACAATAATCAGTAAATGATACTAGTAAATTATGTTGTGCAATTTTAATATCTTTTTTGTGTTTGGAAGGAGCGTACATGATACAGACCTTATTATACTATCGATAGATTGTCAATTTTATAAATGTGTTACACTGTGTATATATTATGCAATGTAGTGATGAAGTCTTAATAATAATTGATATTGTTCAATAATATTATGGTGATATAGTACAGTAATTGCTATTGTGCAATCTAAATATGTTTTTATGTTTGGAGGGATCGTAAATGAGTCATATATTATTCAATTTTACGAATATGTTGCACAATTTCTAATATTTTGCGATATATTAATAAGCTACTGATAAATAGTTGATATTCATTGCTGAGTAATTGCTATTGTGCAATATAAATATCAATTAAATA